CTATTCCTTCCTTCTCCCTCTATCCCTCCCTCCATCCTTTTCCTTCCTTCCTTCCTTCTCCCTCTATCCCTCCCTCCATCCTTTTCCTTCCTTCCTTCCTTCCTTCAAGGTTGACTCAGCCTTCCATCCTTCCGAGGTGGGTGAAATGAGGACCCGGATTGTTGTTGGAGGCGATATGCTGACTCTGTAAACCGCTTAGAGAGGGCTGAAAGCCCTATGAAGCGCTATATAAGTCTAACTGCTATTGCTATTCTACACACCTGTAGTAACCTTCTACACAACACAAGTTCCAAAGAGGATGAGAACTATTCAAGACTCAGGAACCTCCAAGGTTGCTCCAGGCTGTGCATCTTTGCTACTAGGTGGAACGTACTCGTGGTAAAAATCAAAGGAAGGTTCCCTAAGGTTAAGAGCTGCCTGGCGGCTCTTTTATTGGTTGATTGGCACCCAGCGGGCAGAGAAGGGAGGAGGCGGCCTTGAGGAAGAGCCGGGGCGAAGCGTTACCAAAGAGATAAGGAGGGGAATGGAGATGAAGCCTGGGAACATGTGTGCAAATGCCTCCGACGAGGCCGACGCCTCTCCAATTCATGCGGTTACAAAAATAATATTTTTTTTAAAAAAAATCTCGTTTTGTAAGCCTCCCTACAAAGGGGGGAGGGCTGGATTTAGCTTTTCAAAGTGCTAAATATTCCTGCAGGGCGGCTTAGCAACCAGCCCCCCCCCCTGAAAGGATGCAAGGTTGCCACGGCACCCCCAGACGCCAGCACTTCCCCCCCCCCCGCCAGCTGGGAGGCTCCAGATGCGAAGGAGCTGCCGGAGGGCACCGGGTTGGGGAAGCAGGCAGAGAGGCTGGCCAGAAAAGCTCACCCCACATCAAACCCAATCCAGGGTTTGAAAGCAGAAGAAGCGACGGTGAGGTTTTAGCGGATGCCGTTTTGGAAAAACTGTTTTCTTATTCTGTTTTTAGGTGGTGTTGTTCTTCTGTTATTTGCTTCTGAGAGTTGTGGGAACCCCGGACTCTCGCGCTCAGGCTGGAGAGAAGCTAAGGCTGACCTGGAGCAAGGCTGAGCCTTAGGGAATGACCCTGACCCCCCCACCCACCCACACCTCACCCCCTTGCCTGTCCCCCTGGATCAGGCGCCTCCAGGTTGGGTTGGACTTCAGCTCCCAGAATTCCCTAGCTAACTGTTCTGACCCCCCCCACCTTCGCTCATTCAAAGACGACAGGCAGACAGACTTAAAAGGAACTAACTTTATCAGTCCTCGGCTCACTCTGGCTGCGAGCCCAAAACTAAACATAAATAAAGTCTCTGGCAAGAAGATAACAGAATGCAAAAATGAAGATCTCTTACGGCAGAACCAGGTGTACAGAAAGAAAGCAAATCACTTCTCCAAGTGTCTCTTTGAATCAGGGTTACNCAACTCCCAGAATTCTCCAGCCTGCATAGCTGGAGAGTTTGGGGACCCTTGTTCTATATTTTAATCTTTAAGACAGACTCTCCCAAGCTTAGTGGTTCAGCTGCCAGAACCCCCATGCCAACATGTGTGAACTTCAACTCCCAGAATCCCCCTAGCACAAATGCATTCCTTTTGGTGCCATCCCAATGGAGGCAGCCTTACTCTCTTATCATCCCTTCTTCTGCAGTCTCTTCACTGTTGAGGATAGGAAGGGAGGGGGGGGGAAAGCAGGCATGGCCAGCTGGGGGAATTCTGGGAGTGGAAGCCCACCCATCTTCAAGCAGCCAATCTTGAGAAACACTGTTTTTCGATCCAGCGGTTGAGCACATCTGTACACCAGGTGGGTCCATAGATGGGATACACATCTTTCCGTATCTCCGTTCACTGTTTTCTGGGGGCATCCATGGCTTCAGACCGAACCCCCAGGAATTGTAGACACAGATCAGAAACCCTACACCTGAATTCCACTGATCCACTTATGGAAGGACCACGTTCAGCCACGTTCTCCTTCCTTGGCACGTTGCAAGCACCAATAACTTTCTGTACAAGTAGGAAGGGTGAAGGAGGAGAGGGGAGAAAGAAGAGAGGGCATAGGAGAGGGGGAAGCAAAGTTGAGGAAAAGCGTCGGAGAGAAGGAGAGGAAAGGAGAGGAGAAGGAGAGAGGAAGGGGAAGCAGAGAAGAGAAAGGAGGGGAGGGAGGAGAAAGAAGCGAGGGAAAGAAGGTAGAGAGGGGGAGAGAGGAGAGGAGGAAAGTTGAGGTAGAACTAGGTATAATATAGTATATGGAAAACAGAAGAACTGTCATTCTATCAGAGGGACTGATAGAATCCTGGATAATATATGATAGCGTTTGTTAAGACGTAATGCTATACTTGTGGATATCTATGTGAAAATGAAAATAAACTTTTTCAAAAAAAAAAACAACCCACACCGAGGTGGTGCAGTGGTTAGGGTGCAGCACTGCAGGCCACTTCAGCTGACTGNCAGGAGACGGTGAGTTCTAGTCCCGCCTTAGCCATGAAACCGGGGGGATGCCTTTGGGCCTAGAGGACCCACACATCTCCCCAGTTACAGCTGCACCTCCCCGCACCCACTGTCCGTCCCCCCTTTGAGTCCAGCGGAGGGCGCTGCTCTTACGTGGTGGTAATGTTGAACTTGAAGTCGGTGACGTCGTCCGAGTGTTTCCCATCAATGGCCCACCAGACCTCCTGAGGGGAGTCCTTCAGGAACGTGAAGCTGACCTCGCATCGGAGAGAGAGATGTTCGCCTGGCAGGGGAAAGAAGAAGAAGGTTCTCCCTGGTCAGGTCCACCTGGGAGCAGAACCGTCTTCTGAAAGGGGACCAGCCTGGCATCCCTCGAGGATGTTGGGATGACCCCCATCCGTCCTCCCCATCCAGTCCCCAACCCAACGAAAGGGAGTTGGCTGAGCCATCCCGCTTCAGAACGTCCTGGAGAGGAAGGTGGTGGGAGCGCCAGAGGCTGTGGGGGCTTCTTCATCCCTGGAAGGACTGCCATCAGACAGAAATGGCACGGGGGTCTCCTGCTTGGGCAGGGGAACCCTAGCCCCCTTCCGAACTGAAACCGAATTGAATTGGGATCTGGTGACCAGGTGGCCACGGCTGGATCCTTACCTGGCTTGCGATCGTAGACGATCCGCTTGGTTGGGTAGATGATCAATGGAGCGGTTGCTCTTTCTGGCGCCTCTGCCAACCGAGTTATAAAACAAAATAAAAAGTCAACCGACAGGTGTGTGGAATTCATTTTATTTTCCTCTTGGCTCCATTATCTGTTTCCCAACCTTGGCGGATGGGTAGTCACCTCCCAGAATTTCCTGGCCCTCCTGCGTTCCTTTTGAGATGTATACTCATTGTAAACTTACTTATTCTCTTGTAATCCCTTTCTCTGCAAACTCTCTGCTCTACAGGGTGGGTTTTCCCCCAAGTGCAGATACCTGTATGTGCTTTGCATTCCTTCTTCTCTGTTACTACCTCTTCTCCTTCTCCTCTTGGCTATTTCATACCTCCAACCCTTTCTCTCTTCCCTGGAGTGCACTGCCTCTCATTGTCAACATCTGTCTGGAAGTGCTTTGAACCCCTCTCTCCCCACCTCCCCAATTTCCTTTGGGACCTCCTATATCAGACGCCTTCAAAGTTGACAACTTTAAGACTTGTGGACTTGAACTCCCAGAATTCTCTAGCCAGCATAACTTACTCTCTTGTAATCCCTTCCTCTGCAATCTCTTCACTTAGATCAGAGGTCTTCAAAGTTGACAACTTTAAGACTTGTGGACTTGAACTCCCAGAATTCTCCAGCCAGCATAACTTACTCTCTTGTAATCCCTTCCTCTGCAATCTCTTCACTTAGATCAGAGGTCTTCAAAGTTGACAACTTTAAGACTTGTGGACTGCAACTCCCAGAATTCTCCAGCCAGCATAACTTACTCTCTTGCAATCCCTTCCTCTGCAATCTCTCCACTTAGACTAGAGGTCTTCAAACTTGGCAACTTTAAGACTTGTGGACTTCAACTCCCAGAATTCTCCAGCCAGCATAACTTACTCTCTTGCAATCCCTTCCTCTGCAATCTCTCCACTTAGACCAGAGGTCTTCAAACTTGGCAACTTTAAGACTCGTGGACTTCAACTCCCAGAATTCTCCAGCCAGCATAACTTACTCTCTTGCAATCCCTTCNTTTTTCGTCGCGCTGTGATTACGTCAAAGGCGCGATTTTGTCGATCGCGCTTTTGTCGTCCGCGCTTTTGACGGGTCACGCCCCAAGTCACCCAGTCAGCTTGCATGTCCAAGGCAGAACTAGAACTCAACAGTCTCCTTGTGTCAACTGTCCAACTAATGAAGCCAAAATAAGGAAACACTCTCAGGAGCTTTGAATTTCCAAAAGTAAAAAGTTTACTGGATACACCATTTTGGTACTAAAGAATCGAAACCAACTCTGGGTTCCCCCATGCAAATGCTTGCTTAGTTAAGCAATAGTTTCCTTTTTTCCCTCACCCCCTGGATGATCACATTGTCCAATTATAAAACATCCTTTTTGTCAAACCCCCCAACGACCCCCCCACTCACTTCTCAACAGAGAGTACAGAGGTTTTCTCTATTTAAGTAAAACTCTGGATCGCTTAATTACTATTACAGAACATCTGATAATCTCTGCAGTATTTCTATCAGTGAGTCCATCATATCAGTTAATTTTTTAAAGACATTTTTAAAACAATCTTTCAGTCAATTTTTCATTCCAACTGAATTTGGAAGGATCAAACCACATGTGAAAAAATTTGTTAAACTTGTCAGATAATTGAATGAACTGTTTCAGTGTTGAAGCATTTCTAGATCCCTAATCTACCACAACTTTCTAAATTTGACTGTTGGATACATTAATGTTATATATATGCCAGCCTGAAGATGGCATACCTCGCCGAAATGTTGCCAAGACAATCTCAATCTTACACGGGAAAAGACCCGAATACAACAAGGCCAGCATACCTACACCCGTGAAAATCTACGAAAACAAATTATATATATATATATCCGCACCGTCTGAAGCGCTAAGCAAAATGCGACCCTAGCGCGCCGACATAACCGCGGAGGGCAAATCCATGCCTTCTAGCAATCAAAAACTAACCCTAACCCTAAACCTAACCCTAAATCTAACCTTAAACCTAACCCTAAATCTAACCCTAAACGTAACCCTAAACCTAACCCTAAACCTAACCCTTACCTTAACTTAAATCGGCTTTCTGTCGCCGTGCTGTTGTCGCCGCGGTGATGACGTTGCGGTTTTAGCGACGTGGTCTTGTCGGTGCGCTTTTGTCATGCACGCTTTTGTCGGGTCACGTATATATATATATACACCCCCACACNAGGTGCACCCACAATCACTCGCGCGGCTGCGTTCTGGACTACCTGGTAAATTCTTTTTTCCCCACATAAATATTTTGGTCTGTCATCATTCTGCTCCATTACTTGGTCCATTAAGTGAGTGCGATTTTAAATTGCCTGATAATAAACATATCACAGCATTTTAAAAAAATCTCCCGTTCTCATTTAAGAAGTTTTAAAACATGGTTCTTTTGCCTGCATTTGTTCTCCTGCTTCTCATGACTTCCTTCAGCATCTTTTCCCCAAACTCCCACAGTTGGAAGTTGTGGTTCTTTCTCTCTTCCTTCTATCATTTCTTTAATTGATTGATGCCCTGACCAGTGAAAGCTGGGTTTACATCCGCTGCCACAGCCTTTTCTCACAATTCAAAGGGTCCACACAGGATACGGTGGGAGCCAGAAGCCATTTACTGTGTTTCCAGAAATCCTGGGAGAGATTCTGTTCCGATTATTCTTTAAATTGGCGAGATGTGGGGCAAGGCAGATGTGCTGCATGTTGCTGAGTTCAGATCTACAACAAGATAGATTAGGATGCTGACTATCACTGACAGTTGGTAGAGGAATATGGTCCGGCTGAAAAATACCCAGAAGTGCGCTCATATTCAAGTAAACTCTTATTGACTTGGCAGAAATGTCCTGAGAATGACATAAGAACTTGCTGTCTTTCGGAAATAAAACAGACTGAAGAGAAATACACCGAAACCCTGGAATCAATCGAAAAGGTAAAGTTGATGTGATAAAACAATCAGGAACTCATTTCCCACTTATTGCCAGGGGAGCTAGGAGAGCAGAGAAGTTTCAGGCAAGGATGTATACCTAGCAGAGGTGTGCACAAAATAGAAAACATGTTTAGTTTTTGACCTTGAAATGAAACAGCTTCATTTGAAATGTTTCTTCAAAGTGTTCTGAGTTTGCTTTGTTCTAAAAGACAGCAGTGTTGATCAGAGGGAATTTGAGACCAGTTCCCAATCCTTCTTTTTTTTTCACCACTGGGCCACAAAGATAAAGCAGCGCATAAAATTTGGTAAATTTATTTATATTCAATACCTGACATAATCCAAGTTCCTCAGTTGTTTTAAAGTAAGAACATATTAGATTTATCTGGATTTTTAAAAATCCTATCTTTATTATTTTTATAAATAACTGAAGGTGGTGAAAATAGCAGTAGCAATAGCAGTTAGACTTATATACCGCTTCATAGGGCTTTCAGCCCTCTCTAAGCGGTTTACAGAGTCAGCATATTGCCCCCAACAACAATCCGGGTCCTCATTTTACCCACCTCGGAAGGGTAAAAGGAAGGATGGAAGGCTGAGTCAACCCTGAGACGGTGAGATTTGAACTGCCGAACTAGCAGTCAGCTGAAGTAGCCTGCAGTGCTGCATTATAACCACAAGGAAGGAAGGAAGGAAGG